CCACAGCAGCCCCAAAAACAGCAATGACAGCTCCAACTACTACCACAGCTGCTCCAACAACCATGATTGATAAAACTATAACCACGCTTGTTCCAACAACTACCACAGCAGCCCCAACAACATCCACAGGTGCTCCAGCAACAACCACAGTTGCTGCGAGTGCAACCACAGCTTCTGCAACAACAACAGCAGCTTCAACAACAACTGCCCCAACTACAACTGCAGCTGCATCAACTACTACAACAGTTATTCAAAAAACAACTACAGCTGCTTCAACAACAATCACACATGCCCCAACTGCAACCACAATTGCCCCAACTGCAACCACAGTTGCCCCAACAACATCCAAGGGTGCTTCAAAAACAACCACATTTGTCCCTCGGTCAACCTCACCTGCTACAACAACAACCACGGCATCTCCAATTACAATCACAAGTACCCCAATACAAACCACAGCTGCCCCAACTACAGCAATGGCAGCTCCACATACAACCACAGCTGCTCCAACAACAATGACTGATACGACTACAACCGTGGTTGATACAACTACAACCGCGGCTTTTCCAACAACTACCACAGCAGCCCCAACAACAACCACACCTACCCAACAAACAGAAGCTACAACCACACCCACAGCAGGCCCAACAACCATGATTGATAAAACTACAACAGTGGTTGTTCCAAAAACTACCACCGCAGCCCCAACAACAACTACACCTGCCCAACAAACAACAGAAGCTACAACCACACCCACAGCAGCCCCAACAACAGCAATGACAGCTCCACCTACTACCGCAGCTGCTCCAACAACCATGATTGATAAAACTATAACCATGCTTGTTCCAACAACTACCACAGCAGCCCCAACAACAACCACACCTACCCAACAAACAGAAGCTACAACCACACCCACAGCAGCCCCAACAACCATGATTGATAAAACTACAACAGCGGTGGTTCCAAAAACTACCACCGCAGCCCCAACAACAACTACACCTGCCCAACAAACAACAGAAGCTACAACCACACCAACAGCAGCCCCAACAACAGCAATGGCAGCTCCACATACTACCACAGCTGCTCCAACAACCATGACTTATGCAACTACAACCGCGGTTGATACAACTACAACCGCGGTTGTTCCAACAACTACCACAGCAGCCCCAACAACAACCACACCTACCCAACAAACAACAGAAGCTACAACCACACCCACAGCAGCCCCAACAACAGCAATGACAGCTCCAACTACTACCACAGCTGCTCCAACAACCATGATTGATAAAACTATAACCACGCTTGTTCCAACAACTACCACAGCAGCCCCAACAACATCCACAGGTGCTCCAGGAACAACCACAGTTGCTGCAAGTGCAACCACAGCTTCTGCAACAACAACAGCAGCTTCAACAGCAACTGCCCCAACTACAACTGCAGCTGCATCAACTACTACAACAGCAATTCAAAAAACAACTAGTGCTGCTTCAACAACAATCACACATGCCCCAACTGCAACCACAATTGCCCCAACTGCAACCACAGTTGCCCCAACAACATCCAAGGGTGCTTCAAAAACAACCACATTTGTCCCTCGGTCAACCTCACCTGCTACAACAACAACCACGGCATCTCCAATTACAATCACAAGTACCCCAATACAAACCACAGCTGCCCCAACTACAGCAATGGCAGCTCCACATACAACCACAGCTGCTCCAACAACCATGACTGATACGACTACAACCGTGGTTGATACAACTACAACCGCGGTTTTTCCAACAACTACCACAGCAGCCCCAACAACAACCACACCTACACAACAAACAGAAGCTACAACCACACCCACAGCAGCCCCAACAACCATGATTGATAAAACTAAAACAGTGGTTGTTCCAAAAACTACCACCGCAGCCCCAACAACAACTACACCTGCCCAACAAACAACAGAAGCTACAACCACACCCACAGCAGCCCCAACAACAGCAATGACAGCTCCACCTACTACCGCAGCTGCTCCAACAACCATGATTGATAAAACTATAACCATGCTTGTTCCAACAACTACCACAGCAGCCCCAACAACATCCACAGGTGCTCCAGCAACAACCACAGCTGCTGCGAGTGCAACCACAGCTTCTGCAACAACAACCATGACAGCTTTAACCACAACAACAGCAGCTTCAACAACAACTGCCCCAACTACAACCGCAGCTGCATCAACTACTACAACAGCAGTTAAAAAAACAACTACAGCTGCTTCAACAACAACCACACATGCCCCAACTTCAACCACAATTGCCCCAACTGCAAACACAGTTGCCCCAACAACATCCAAGGGTGCTTCAAAAACAACCACATTTGTCCCTCGGTCAACCTCAGCTGCTACAACAACAACCACGGCATCTCCAATTACAATCACAAGTACCCCAACACAAACCACAGCAGCCCCAACAACAACCACACCTACCCAACAAACAACAGAAGCTACAACCACACCCACAGCAGCCCCTACAACCATGACTTATGCAACTACAACCGCGGTTGATACAACTACAACCGCGGTTGTTCCAACAACTACCACAGCAGCTCCAACAACAACCACACCTACCCAACAAACAGAAACTGCAACCACACCCACAGCAGCCCCAACAACCATGATTGATAAAACTACAACAGCGGTTGTTCCAAAAACTACCACCGCAGCCTCAACAACAACTACACCTGCCCAACAAACAACAGAAGCTACAACCACACCCACAGCAGCCCCAACAACAGCAATGACAGCTCCACCTACTACCGCAGCTGCTCCAACAAGCATGATTGATAAAACTATAACCATGCTTGTTCCAACAACTACCACAGCAGCCCCAACAACATCCACAGGTGCTCCAGCAACAACCACAGTTGCTGCGAGTGCAACCACAGCTTCTGCAACAACAACCATGACAGATTTAACCACAACAACAGCAGCTTCAACAACAACTGCCCCAACTACAACCGCAGCTGCATCAACTACTACAATAGCAATTCAAAAAACAACTACAGCTGCTTCAACAACAATCACACATGCCCCAACTGCAACCACAATTGCCCCAACTGCAACCACAGTTGCCCCAACAACATCCAAGGGTGCTTCAAAAACAACCACATTTGTCCCTCGGTCAACCCTAGCTGCTACAACAACCACGGCATCTCCAATTACAATTACAAGTAGCCCAATACAAACCACAGCTTTCCCAACTACAGCAATGGCAGCTCCACATACTACCACAGCTGCTCCAACAACCATGACTGATATAAATACAACCGCAGTTGTTCCAACAACTACCACAGCAGCCCAAACAACAACCACACCTACCCAACAAACAACAGAAGCTTCAACCACACCCACAGCAGCCCCTACAACCATGATTGATAAAACTACAACAGTGGTTGTTCCAAAAACTACCACAGCAGCCACAACAACAACAACTACACCTGCCCAACAAACAACAGAAGCTACAACCACACCCACAGCAGCCCCAACAACAGCAATGACAGCTCCACCTACTACCGCAGCTGCTCCAACAACCATGATTGATAAAACTATAACCATGCTTGTTCCAACAACTACCACAGCAGCCCCAACAACATCCACAGGTGCTCCAGCAACAACCACAGCTGCTGCGAGTGCAACCACAGCTTCTGCAACAACAACCATGACAGCTTTAACCACAACAACAGCAGCTTCAACAACAACTGCCCCAACTACAACCGCAGCTGCATCAACTACTACAACAGCAGTTAAAAAAACAACTACAGCTGCTTCAACAACAACCACACATGCCCCAACTTCAACCACAATTGCCCCAACTGCAAACACAGTTGCCCCAACAACATCCAAGGGTGCTTCAAAAACAACCACATTTGTCCCTCGGTCAACCTCAGCTGCTACAACAACAACCACGGCATCTCCAATTACAATCACAAGTACCCCAACACAAACCACAGCAGCCCCAACAACAACCACACCTACCCAACAAACAACAGAAGCTACAACCACACCCACAGCAGCCCCTACAACCATGACTTATGCAACTACAACCGCGGTTGATACAACTACAACCGCGGTTGTTCCAACAACTACCACAGCAGCTCCAACAACAACCACACCTACCCAACAAACAGAAACTGCAACCACACCCACAGCAGCCCCAACAACCATGATTGATAAAACTACAACAGCGGTTGTTCCAAAAACTACCACCGCAGCCTCAACAACAACTACACCTGCCCAACAAACAACAGAAGCTACAACCACACCCACAGCAGCCCCAACAACAGCAATGACAGCTCCACCTACTACCGCAGCTGCTCCAACAAGCATGATTGATAAAACTATAACCATGCTTGTTCCAACAACTACCACAGCAGCCCCAACAACATCCACAGGTGCTCCAGCAACAACCACAGTTGCTGCGAGTGCAACCACAGCTTCTGCAACAACAACCATGACAGATTTAACCACAACAACAGCAGCTTCAACAACAACTGCCCCAACTACAACCGCAGCTGCATCAACTACTACAATAGCAATTCAAAAAACAACTACAGCTGCTTCAACAACAATCACACATGCCCCAACTGCAACCACAATTGCCCCAACTGCAACCACAGTTGCCCCAACAACATCCAAGGGTGCTTCAAAAACAACCACATTTGTCCCTCGGTCAACCCTAGCTGCTACAACAACCACGGCATCTCCAATTACAATTACAAGTAGCCCAATACAAACCACAGCTTTCCCAACTACAGCAATGGCAGCTCCACATACTACCACAGCTGCTCCAACAACCATGACTGATATAAATACAACCGCAGTTGTTCCAACAACTACCACAGCAGCCCAAACAACAACCACACCTACCCAACAAACAACAGAAGCTTCAACCACACCCACAGCAGCCCCTACAACCATGATTGATAAAACTACAACAGTGGTTGTTCCAAAAACTACCACAGCAGCCACAACAACAACAACTACACCTGCCCAACAAACAACAGAAGCTACAACCACACCCACAGCAGCCCCAACAACAGCAATGACAGCTCCACCTACTACCGCAGCTGCTCCAACAACCATGATTGATAAAACTATAACCATGCTTGTTCCAACAACTACCACAGCAGCCCCAACAACAACCACACCTACCCAACAAACAACAGAAGCTACAACCACACCTACCCAACAAACAACAGAAGCTACAACCACACCCACAGAAGCCCCAACAACCATGATTGATAAAACTACAACAGCGGTTGTTCCAAAAACTACCACCGCAGCCCCAAGAACAACCACACCTACCCAACAAACAACAGAAGCTACATCCACACCCACAGCAGCCCCAACAACAGCAATGACAGCTCCACCTACTACCGCAGCTGCTCCAACAACAATGATTGATAAAACTTTAACCATGCTTGTTCCAACAACTACCACAGCAGCTGCAACAATATCCACAGGTGCTCCAGCAACAACCACAGTTGCTGCGAGTGCAACCACAGCTTCTGCAACAACAACCATGACAGCTTTAACCACAACAACAGCAGCTTCAACAACAACTGCCCCAACTACAACCGCAGCTGCATCAACTACTACAACAGCAATTCTAAAAACAACTACAGCTGCTTCAACAACAACCACACATGCCCCAACTGCAACCACAGTTGCCCCAACAACATCCAAGGGTGCTTCAAAAACAACCACATTTGTCCCTCGGTCAACCTCAGCTGCTACAACAACAACCACGGCATCTCCAATTACAATCACAAGTACCCCAACACAAACCACAGCTGCCCCAACTACAGCAATAGCAGCTCCACATACTACCACATCTGCTCCAACAACCATGACTGATACAACTACAACCGTGGTTGATACAACTACAACCGCGGTTGTTTCAACAACTACCACAGCAGCCCCAACAACAACCACACCTACCCAACAAACAGAAGCTACAACCACACCCACAGCAACCCCAACAACCATGATTGATAAAACTACAACAGCGGTTGTTCCAAAAACTACCACCGCAGCCCCAACAACAACTACACCTGCCCAACAAACAACAGAAGCTACAACCACACCCACAGCAGCCCCAACAACAGCAATGACAGCTCCACCTACTACCACAGCTGCTCCAACAACCATGATTGATAAAACTTTAACCATGCTTGTTCCAACAACTACCACAGCAGCTGCAACAATATCCACAGGTGCTCCAGCAACAACCACAGTTGCTGCGAGTGCAACCACAGCTTCTGCAACAACAACCATGACAGCTTTAACCACAACAACAGCAGCTTCAACAACAACTGCCCCAACTACAACCGCAGCTGCATCAACTACTACAACAGCAATTCTAAAAACAACTACAGCTGCTTCAACAACAACGACACATGCCCCAACTGCAACCACAATTGCCCCAACTGCAACCACAGTTGCCCCAACAACATCCAAGGGTGCTTCAAAAACAACCACATTTGTCCCTCGGTCAACCTCAGCTGCTACAACAACAACCACGGCATCTCCAATTACAATCACAAGTACCCCAACACAAACCACAGCTGCCCCAACTACAGCAATGGCAGCTCCACATACTACCACAGCTGCTCCAACAACCATGACTGATACAACTACAACCACAGTTGTTCCAACAACTACCACAGCAGCCCCAACAACAACCACACCTACCCAACAAACAACAGAAGCTACAACCACACCCACAGCAGCCCCAACAACCATGATTGATAAAACTACATTAGCGGTTGTTCCAAAAATTACCAAAGCAGCCCCAACAACAACTATACCTGCCCAACAAACAACAGAAGCTACAACCACACCCACAGCAGCCCCAACAACAGCAATGACAGCTCCACCTACTACCGCAGCTGCTCCAACAACCATGATTGATAAAACTATAACCATACTTGTTCCAACAACTACCACAGCAGCCCCAACAACATCCACAGGTGCTCCAGCAACAACCACAGTTGCTGCGAGTGCAACCACAGCTTCTGCAACAACAACCATGACAGCTTTAATCACAACAACAGCAGCTTCAACAACAACTGCCCCAACTACAACTGCAGCTGCATCAACTACTACAACAGCAATTCAAAAAACAACTACAGCTGCTTCAACAACAATCACATATGCCCCAACTGCAACCACAATTGCCCCAACTGCAACCACAGTTGCCCCAACAACATCCAAGGGTGCTTCAAAAACAACCACATTTGTCCCTCGGTCAACCTCAGCTGCTACAACAACCACGGCATCTCCAATTACAAACACAAGTACCCCAACACAAACCACAGCTGCCCCAACTACAGCAATGGCAGCTCCACATACTACCACAGCTGCTCCAACAACCATGACTGATACAACTACAACCGTGGTTGTTCCAACAACTACCACAGCAGCCCCAACAACAACCACACCTACCCAACAAACAACAGAAGCTACAACCACACCCACAGCAGCCCCAACAGCCATGATTGATAAAACTACAACAGCGGTTGTTCCAAAAACTACCACAGCAGCCCCAGCAACAACTACACCTGCCAAACAAAGAACAGAAGCTACAATCACACCCACAGCAGCCCATACAACAGCAATGACAGCTCCACCTACTACCGCAGCTGCTCCAACAACCATGACTGATAAAACTATAACCATGCTTGTTCCAACAACTACCACAGCAGCCCCAACAACATCCACAGGTGCTCCAGCAACAACCACAGTTGCTGCGAGTGCAACCACAGCTTCTGCAACAACAACCATGATAGCTTTAACCACAACAACAGCTGCTTCAACAACAACTGCCCCAACTACAACCGCAGCTGCATCAACTACTAAAACAGCAATTCAAAAAACAACTACAGCTGCTTCAACAACAACCACACATGCCCCAACTGCAACCACAGTTGCCCCAACAACATCCAAGGGTGCTTCAAAAACAACCACATTTGTCCCTCGGTCAACCTCAGCTTCTACAACATCAACCATGGCATCTCCAATTACAATCACAAGTACCCCAACACAAACCACAGCTGCCCCAACTACAGCAATGGCAGCTCCACATACTACCGCAGCTGCTCCAACAACCATGATTGGTAAAACTATAACCATGCTTGTTCCAACAACTACCACAGCAGCCCCAACAACATCCACAGGATCTCCAGCAACAACCACAGTTGCTGCGAGTGCAACCACAGCTTCTACAACAACAACCATGACAGCTTTAACCACAACAACAGCAGCTTCAACAACAACTGCCCCAATTACAACCGCAGCTGCATCAACTACTACAACAGCAATTCTAAAAACAACTACAGCTGCTTCAACAACAACCACACATGCCCCAACTGCAACCACAATTGCCCCAACTTCAACCACAGTTGCCCCAACAACATCCAAGCGTGCTTCAAAAACAACCGCATTTGTCCCTCGGTCAACCTCAGCTGCTACAACAACAACCAAGGCATCTCCAATTACAATCACAAGTAGCCCAACACAAACCACAGCTGCCCCAACTACAGCAATGGCAGCTCCACATACTACCACAGCTGCTCCAACAACCATGAATGATACAACTACAACCGCGGTTGATACAACTACAACCGCGGTTGTTCCAACAACTACCACACCTACCCAACAAACAACAGAAGCTACAACCACACCCACAGCAGCCCCTACAACCATGACTAATAAAACTACAACAGTGGTTGTTCCAAAAACTACCACAGCAGCCCCAACAACAACCACGGCATCTCCAATTACAATCACAAGTACCCCAACACAAACCACAGCTGCCCCAACTACAGCAATGGCAGCTCCACATACTAACACAGCTGCTCCAACAACCATGACTGATACAACTACAACCGCAGTTATTCCAAGAACTACCACAGCAGCCCCAACAACAACCACACCTACCCAACAAACAACAGAAGCTACAACCACACCCACAGCAGCCCCTACAACCATGACTAATAAAACTACAACAGTGGTTGTTCCAAAAACTACCACAGCAGCCCCAACAACAACTATGCATGCCCAACAAACAACAGAAGCTACAACCACACCCACAGCAGCCCCAACAACAGCAATGACAGCTCCACCTACTACCGCAGCTGCTCCAACAACCATGATTGATAAAACTATAACCATGCTTGTTCCAACAACTACCACAGCAGCCCCAACAATATCCACAGGTGCTCCAGCAACAACCACAGTTGCTGCGAGTGCAACCACAGCTTCTGCAACAACAACCATGACAGCTTTAACCACAACAACAGCAGCTTCAACAACAACTTCCCCAACTACAACCGCAGCTGCATCAACTACTACAACAGCAATTCTAAAAACAACTACAGCTGCTTCAACAACAACCACACATGCCCCAACTGCAACCACAATTGCCCCAACTGCAACCACAGTTGCCCCAACAACATCCAAGGGTGCTTCAAAAACAACCACATTTGTCCCTCGGTCAACCTCAGCTGCTACAACAACAACCACGGCATCTCCAATTACAATCACAAGTACCCCAACACAAACCACAGCTGCCCCAACTACAGCAATGGCAGCTCCACATACTACCACAGCTGCTCCAACAACCATGACTGATACAACTACAACCGCAGTTGTTCCAACAACTACTACAGCAGCCCCAACAACAACCACACCTACCCAACAAACAACAGAAGCTACAACCACACCCACAGCAGCCCCAACAACCATGATTGATAAAACTACAACAGCGGTTGTTCCAAAAATTACCACAGCAGCCCCAACAACAACTACACCTGCCCAACAAACAACAGAAGCTACAACCACACCCACAGCACCCCCAACAACAGCAATGTCAGCTCCACCTACTACAGCAGCTGCTCCAACAACCATGAATGATAAAACTATAACCATACTTGTTCCAACAACTACAACAGCAGCTCCAACAACAACCACAGCTGCCCAAACAACAACAAAAATATCTCCAACAACAACCACAGTAACTCCTGTGACAACCACAGCTAATGATACAACACCTGCAACTACTTCCAAAGTAGCTCCCTCATCGTCGACCATAGCTGCCACATTAACAGCCACAGCAGCTCCAACAACATTCACAGCTGCTCCAACAAACACCACACATGCCCCAATTACAACCACACATGCGCCAACTAAAACCACAGCTTCCTCAACAACAGCCACAGGTGCTCCAACAACAACCACAGTTGCTCCAAGTACAACCACAGCTGCCCTGATTAAGAGCCCAGAAGCTTCAACTACAATTATAGCCACCCCAACAAGTGCAAGTTCCCCAACAGCTACTGCCACCGCCCCGAAGAAAACTACAGGAACTCCAGCTACTACCACAGCTGCTCTAACAACCACGACCTCTCCAACTACAGCAACAGCAGCCCCAATAACAACACCTGCCCAACAAACAACAGCAGCAGCCCAGACAACATTCACGGCAGCCCTGACATCAACCACATCTTCCCCAAAAACAACCACAGCTGCTATAGCAACTACCACAGCTGTCACTGCTACAACAATTTCAGCTCCAACTATTACCACAGCAGCCCCTAAAACAACTACACATGCCCCACTAACAACCACAGCTGCTCCAACAACAACCACAGCTGCCCAAACAACAATGAAAAGATCTCCAACAACAACCACAGTTGCTCCAAGTACAACCACAGCTGCCCCGATAAAAAGCCCAGAAGCTTCAACTACAACTATAGCCACCCCAACAACAAGTGCAGGTGCCCCAACAGCTACCACAACTCCCCCCAAAACAACTAAGGCAGCTGTAACTACTATCACAGCAGCTCCAACAACCATGACTGCACCAACTACAACCATAGCTATTCCAACAACTACCACAGCAGCCCGAACAACACCCACAACAGCTCCGACACCAACCACAACTGCCCTAAAAAGAACTACAGTAGCTCCAACAACAACAACCAAAGCTGGTCCAACAACTAGCACAGCTCCTCCAACAACAAGCTTAGCTCCCACAGCAAAGACGACAAGTGTTTCAACCAAAACCACTTCTGCTCAGAAAACAGTTAAAGAGTCTCCAACTAAAAAAACTGTGGATTGTTGTTTGGATAAAACAAGTAAGTTAAAATTCAGAAATAAATTAGAGGTTGGCAAAGCAGAAGGAGAAATGGATAATTCTTGAAACATTTTTTGAAAAGTTCTCATTTAAACGAAACCTGAGAAACAACAACTTCTTTAACAACATAAGCCGGACATAATTTGGTTAAATAAATGAGTGAGCACTTGGCTGTACTTCCAAAAGAACACGTTGCTTTTATTGCACACAAGTTCTTTTTTTAAAACAGCAGCAACTGTTATATATTTGAATAAATTTTTTTCTAAGGTGTAACACTCATAACTGCTCTAACACATGTTTGTTTGTGCAGGTCATAACATACCAACACCAACCACGGCTGCTCCTTCAACTGCAGTCATGCCAAAAACTACCACTCTGGTCACGACTACAGCCATTACACCAGAAGCTCTTGCTCCAGTCTTTTATGTTGCAGTAACAATGGTAGAACCATATGTTCCAGCGTTGACACAAAAGACCAGCAAGGAGTACCAGAGTCTTGAATTAATAGTTATAGAAACTGTAAGTGCAATGTTCAAATGTTTTCCTAAACCTTTGTGGAAATTACTGTTCCTTTTTTGACAGTAGTATAGAACAACAAGTAATTCCACGTTTTATTTTGTGTGTGTTCCTTTTCTGCAGTTCACCATCATCTACAGGATCAGATTCAGTTTCCGCTTTAGAGGCAGTTTTCTCATTGCATTCAGGTAAAGTTTTATTGGTAAAAGCAAACCTTTGTGTCTTTTTGCAAGACACACATTTTGACCACCATTTCTAATCACAAAAGAGACATATATTTAAACTATGTCTTTCTGCCACGTTTCTTTCTTTCAACATTCCTATGTATTGAAATATTGCAGACCAAGCACCGTGGGCACACTTGTGAATGGTACTGAAGCAGAGGTTGGGGTAGAGTTTAGTAAAACCATAGCAACGGACCAAATCCCAACAGTTAATGAGGTTCAACAAACCTTAGTGGAGGCTGCAACTAATACAAGCCTCAACCTAAACATCACCTTCGTACTGTCATCTATCCAAGTAACAGGTATGTAAAAAGCGGTCAAACACCTCACTAAAACAATTGTGCATGAACGTTTATTTAGGAAAAACACAAACCGCTGTTTAGACCTGTCTAGTTATGCTCAACTTTACATCAGGTACCATAAATAGCTCGTGGAATAATTTGTTGATGTACTATACTCCATTTTTGTTTGCAGGTCGTAACATACCAACCACGGCTGCTCCTTCAACTGCAGTTATGCCAAAAACTACCACTCTGGTCACGACTACAGCCATTACACCAGAAGCTCTTGCTCCAGTCTTTTATGTTACAGTAACAATGGTAGAACCATATGTTCCAGCGTTGACACAAAAGACCAGCAAAGAGTACCAGAGTCTTGAATTAATAGTTATAGAAACTGTAAGTGCAATGTTCAAATGTTTTCCTAAACCTTTGTGGAAATTAACTGTAACTTTTTTGATGGTAGTATAGAACATCAAGTTAGCCCAAGTTTTTATTTTGTGTGTTCCTTTTCTACAGTTTACCATCATCTACAGGATCAGATTCAGATTCCGCTTTAGACGCTGTTATGTCATTGCATTCAGGTAAAGTTTTATTGGTTAAAGCAAACCTTTGTGTCTTTTTGCAAGACACGCATTTTGACCACCATTTCTAATCACAAAATGAAATATATTTAAACTGTTTTACCACCACGTTTCTTTCTTTCAACATTCCTATGTATTGAAATATTGCAGACCAAGCACTGTGGGCACACTTGTGAATGGTACTGAAGCAGAGGTTGGGGTAGAGTTTAGTAAAAACATAGCAACGGACCAAATCCCAACAGTTAATGAGGTTCAACAAACCTTAGTGGAGGCTGCAACTATTACATGCCTCGACCTAAACATGAACTTAGTACCGTCATCTATCCAAGTAACAGGTACGTAATAAGCGGTCAAACACCTCACTAAAACAATTGTGCATGAACGTTTATTTAGGAAAAACACAAACCGCTGTTTAGGCCTGTCTAGTTTTGCTAAAATTAACATTAAATACAATCAATAGCTCTGTGGAATCATTTGTTGATGTACTATACTCCATTTTTGTTTGCAGGTCATAACATACCAACACCAACCACGGCTGCTCCTTCAACTGCAGTCATGCCAAAAACTACCACTCTGGTCACGACTACAGCCATTACACCAGAAGCTCTTGCTCCAGTCTTTTATGTTGCAGTAACAATGGTAGAACCATATGTTCCAGCGTTGACACAAAAGACCAGCAAAGAGTACCAAAGTCTTGAATTAATAGTTATAGAAACTGTAAGTGCAATGTTCAAATGTTTTCCTAAACCTTTGTGGAAATTACTGTTCCTTTTTTGACAGTAGTATAGAACAACAAGTAATTCCACGTTTTATTTTGTGTGTTCCTTTTCCGCAGTTCACCATCATCTACAGGATCAGATTCAGTTTCCGCTTTAGAGGCTGTTATGTCATTGCATTCAGGTAAAGTTTTATTGGTTAAAGCAAACCTTTGTGTCTTTTTGCAAGACACGCATTTTGACCACCATTTCTAATCACAAAAGAGACATATATTTAAACTATGTCTTTCTGCCACGTTTTTTTCTTTCAACATTCCTATGTATTGAAATATTGCAGACCAAGCACCGTGGGCACACTTGTGAATGGTACTGAAGCAGAGGTTGGGGTAGAGTTTAGTAAAACCATAGCAACGGACCAAATCCCAACAGTTAATGAGGTTCAACAAACCTTAGTGGAGGCTGCAACTAATACAAGCCTCAACCTAAACATCACCTTAGTACAGTCATCCATCCAAGTAACAGGTATGTAATAAGCAGTCAAACACCTCACTAAAACAATTGTGCATGAACGTTTATTTAGGAAAAACACAAACCGCTGTTTTGGCCTGTCAAGTTTTGCTAAAATTAACATTAAATACAATCAATAGCTCTGTGGAATAATGTGTTGATATACTATACTCCATTTTTGTTTGCAGGTCATAACATACCAACACCAACCACGGCTGCTCCTTCAACTGCAGTCATGCCAAAAACTACCACTCTGGTCACGACTACAGCCATTACACCAGAAGATCTTGCTCCAGTCTTTTATGTTGCAGTAACAATGGTAGAACCATATGTTCCAGCATTGACACAAAAGACCAGCAAAGAGTACCAAAGTCTTGAATTAATAGTTAAAGAAACTGTAAGTGCAATGTTCAAATGTTTTCCTAAACCTTTGTGGAAATTACTGTTCCTTTTTTGACAGTAGTATAGAACAACAAGTAATTCCACGTTTTATTTTGTGTGTTCCTTTTCCGCAGTTCACCATCATCTACAGGATCAGATTCAGTTTCCGCTTTAGAGGCTGTTATGTCATTGCATTCAGGTAAAGTTTTATTGGTTAAAGCAAACCTTTGTGTCTTTTTGCAAGACAAGCATTTTGACCACCATTTCTAATCACAAAAGAGACATATATTTAAACTATGTCTTTCTGCCACGTTTCTTTCTTTCAACATTCCTATGTATTGAAATATTGCAGACCAAGCACCGTGGGCACACTTGTGAATGGTACTGAAGCAGAGGTTGGGGTAGAGTTTAGTAAAACCATAGCAACGGACCAAATCCCAACAGTTAATGAGGTTCAACAAACCTTAGTGGAGGCTGCAATTAATACAGGCCTCAACCTAAACATCACCTTAGTACTGTCATCTATCCAAGTAAAAGGTATGTAATAAGCAGTCAAACACCTCACTAAAACAATTGTGCATGAACGTTTATTTAGGAAAAACACAAACCGCTGTTTAGGCCTGTCTAGTTTTTCTAAAATTAGCGTTAAATACAATCAATAGCTCTGTGGAATCATTTGTTGATATACTATACTCCATTTTTGTTTGCAGGTCATAACATACCAACACCAACCACGGCTGCTCCTTCAACTGCAGTCATGCCAAAAACTACCACTCTGGTCACGACTACAGCCATTACACCAGAAGCTCTTGCTCCAGTCTTTTATGTTGCAGTAACAATGGTAGAACCATATGTTCCAGCGTTGACACAAAAGACCAGCAAAGAGTACCAAAGTCTTGAATTAATAGTTATAGAAACTGTAAGTGCAATGTTCAAATGTTTTCCTAAACCTTTGTGGAAATTACTGTTCCTTTTTTGACAGTAGTATAGAACAACAAGTAATTCCACGTTTTATTTTGTGTGTTCCTTTTCCGCAGTTCACCATCATCTACAGGATCAGATTCAGTTTCCGCTTTAGAGGCTGTTATGTCATTGCATTCAGGTAAAGTTTTATTGGTTAAAGCAAACCTTTGTGTCTTTTTGCAAGACACGCATTTTGACCACCATTTCTAATCACAAAAGAGACATATATTTAAACTATGTCTTTCTGCCACGTTTCTTTCTTTCAACATTCCTATGTATTGAAATATTGCAGACCAAGCACCGTGGGCACACTTGTGAATGGTACTGAAGCAGAGGTTGGGGTAGAGTTTAGTAAAACCATAGCAACGGACCAAATCCCAACAGTTAATGAGGTTCAAAAAACCTTAGTGGAGGCTGCAGCTAATACAAGCCTCAACCTAAACATCACCTTAGTACCATCATCTATCCAAGTAACAGGTACGTAATAAGCAGTCAAACACCTCACTAAAATAATTGTGCATGAACGTTTATTTGGGAAAAACACAAACCGCTGTTTAGGCCTGTCTAGTTTTGCTAAAATTAACATGAAATACAATCAATAGCTCTGTGGAATCATTTGTTGATGTACTATACTCCATTTTTGTTTGCAGGTCATAACATACCAACACCAACCACGACTGCTCCTTCAACTGCAGTCATGCGAAAAACTACCACTCTGGTCACGACTACAGCCATTACACCAGAAGCTCTTGCTCCAGTCTTTTATGTTACAGTAACAATGGTAGAACCATATGTTCCAGTGTTGACACAAAAGACCAGCAAAGAGTACCAGAGTCTTGAATTAATAGTTATAGAAACTGTAAGTGCAATGTTCAAATGTTTTCCTAAACCTTTGTGGAAATTACTGTTCCTTTTTTGACAGTAGTATAGAACAACAAGTAATTCCACGTTTTTTTGTGTGTTCTTTTTCCGCAGTTCA